AACTAGTTGTCCATTATTTATTATTTTTTGTAATATATTTACAACAAGTATCCCGTCTTTGGATTTATATATAAATTACTTTTAACAATTTCCAGCAATAAAAAAATTCAAATTTCATTAATTCTATAAAAATTTTAAAAAAATTTCATCTTTATCCTTATTTACATACTCTCTCTAATGACTAATCATCTAATCCTAATTATAAGATATTTCTAACCATATCACCCAAATCAAGGAGAGTAGTTAAATTATTAATTTTGTCTAAAAATAAAATAATTTTCCAATCTTACCTATATTTAAATAAAAATATTTTAAATTCACATTGCATTATCTCTCATGATTAATTAATGAATTTAAATAAAAATAATATTAAAAAATATAATTAATATCTCATTAAGTATATTATATTAAAGACCAAAATATTATTATTGAAGGAACTTTGTAATAAAGATCAGGATAGTACATAATTTAAAAAATAAAATACTTTCATATTTGTCAAGCAAGAGCAGCACAAATAGTAATAGTTTGACCCTTTAAACACTATTTTAATACCTAAAAGTATACATGAATAGCATTGTTTGTGAGAAGATAACCCTTTAAATATTGATCATATTTATCAAGGAATCAATCTTATAATTGTCAATTATGGGGACACTTTGAGAAACAAAAAAAAATATTAACATTTAATAACTTTTTTAATATTTAATAAGAGCAAAAGGTAAGAGCAAACACATATAATTATTAAAATATTCTATAAATGATATTAAATAAATATTTTTTTCTTATGTATAAATGGGACAAGAGGAGTGGACTTTAATAAATAACGTATGAGTGGTCCCATGCTTGTCCCGCGAATCCTCCTGTTCACAATTTCCAACCGTAGCCTTCGAGCACGTCGTAGTATTATTTTTGTCCTCTTGTGACAGGAGAACTCAATAAAATATATATATATATATATATATATATGTCTTTAACATTATTAATTATCGATTGTACTAAGAACAAAATAAAACAACAAAAGTCTGATAACAACCAACAAATTTAACGCCATGGTTTCTAAAAAACCACTGGAAACTATGAAAAACTGCTTTGGAGTCGTAAATATTTTCATGAAACAATCTTCCTAAAAATTTGTTTGTTTGTTTTATAATGTAAATCGATCGTATCAAACAGTTTGTTTGTGCTTTTCCTGTTTCATAAATAAAAAGTTTTGTACTTTTAATTTGTCCCTGTGGCAGCGGAGCCAGACTCTTGTGTCTTGAGACCTTGGGAGTCTCACATTTGATGTCTTGTTTTTTTTTTTTTTTGGCTCAAGGATTACAGCTTTAATTATGCAATTGATTATGAAAAGTTAACAGCCCAATTGGATATCCGTTGAGAAAATTGATTAGGAAAAAATATTGAGATGATTGATTTTAAATATAATTGATTATATTATGTGATATAATTGATTAATAAAATTAATTTTAAGCAAAATTAAAAATTAAGTAAAACTATTATTTTGTGAAAATATACCCAAATGCTCTATTACATATTTTTTTACAAATACTCTATTATTTTTTAAATTAATTATAAACTCAAAATCATAATTTTCTTAAAAATATTCTAGTACTCATTATATATATTAAAATTAATTATCACCTTAAAACCATTTTTTTCAAAATCCAAATATTTCTCTCTATCCATGTCAAAATTAATTATCAACCAAAATCATAATTATTTTATAAGCTAATATTACCAACTTTTTAATTATATTTTTCTAAAAATTATCTAAAAAATCTTAGAAATTATTTAAAAATCATATTATTGAGTTTATAATTAATTTTGACATATATATATATGTTTAAATATTTTTAAAAAAATTATAATTTTAAATTTATAATTATTTTAACATGTATAATAAATATTTAGATATTTATAAAAAATATATTTTTTTTTTGTAATTGACTTTAATATATAATCAATAGATGTTTTAATATATTTTTACAAAATCATTGCATTGAGGTCAAAAATTGATTATTGTTTCTATCCAAACATGCACTTTTAATTATAACAAACAGTTTGGTTCTGCTTTTCCCGTTTGAGAAACAAAAAGTTTTGCACTTTTAAATTGTCCCTGTGGGCTGCGGCAGTAAAGCAAGCCTCTTGTGTCTTGAGACCTTGGGAGTCTCATATGTGATGTATTATATACATATATATATATATATATTATATAACGGCTTTCTCAAGGTACAGCTTTAATGATATACGCCTTACAGAAACTAGGCGTGATATTATATTATATTATTGGCTATATTATAAAGCATAGAAACATAAACTTTAACTTATAAGTATATATAATTTTTCATTTTTAAAATTTAAAACTTGAAAAAAAGAATTACATATAAGTCTCAACAGTGGTCACTTTTAAATTCAATTGTCAATAAATTTGAGAGTAATTAATTGAGTATATTAGAGTCTTAAAGTATTTCTTCCAACTTAAAATGATTTTGTTTAAATTTAATCTTGAAATTTGTGCAGGAAATTCGTCCATTATTACTTTTTTTATTATTTTATGAATTAAATTTAACATGATAGATAGTTATATCTGCATATTACTTAACTTTTTTAAAAAAATATTTGCAAATAATATATTTAAACAAAAATAAATGGCTAATGAGCAGAGTAAGGAAATAATAGAAACATTATGAAGAGGCTTGAGGCAGACCTCATTCCTAACTCTGAACCAAAAAAAAAAAAAAACAGAAGAAGAAGAAGAAGAAGAGCGAATATAACAAGAGGTTCAGTTAATCAATAAGAAAACAAAGATTCGGCAAAAAAAAAAAAGGAAAACAAAGAAAATCAGCAGTAGTGCTAAAATGGATGAATTTAAATTTAAATTGAAAAAATTTACATTTAACATTTATGTATTTAAAATTTTTTATTCAAATTATGTGAAAAATTTTAAACTGAAATTTGAAGAAAAAATGGAAGATTAAAGCAACAAGCTTATTTTTATTCTTGCATAAGTGAGAGATGAGAACAAAGGAAAAGAAGAGAAGCAAGAATAAGAGAGACAGTACAAATGTAAAAATTAAAAAAAAAAAAACAAACAAACAAACAAAAGAGTTAGAGTAGCTAAAACTTTTAAAAATTAGGATTTTGAGAGAATTTGAAACTATAAAATAATTATTATCAAATCTATGTTCCAAAACCCTGAACAAATTGGAAAAGATAATTAGTCATGGTTTTTATGGTTGGATTTATTAAACTGATGGTTATAAGGTTATAATTAAATAAAAATAATATCATATATAATAATACACATATTAAAATTAAATATTTGAAAATTAAAACGTTAGAAAAATCTAACTATTACAAACAAGATAAAACAGTTTATTGACAAACATATTATATAAATATAACTAAAAACTTTACATTTCCCCAAGTTTTTTTTTGTCTGTCCCGAGTAAATTTCATTTTTCCATTGTCAATTTTTGTTGGATAATTTCAATAACCAAAAGTAATTTTTCACGTTTACTCCCTCCACACGGCTTTTGTTTTTTCATTTCCAATCCTCTTTCTTTATTTTTTTTTTCACCAAATAACTTTCACTTCCATCTTTCTTCTTTGTCTTTCATTTTATAAAAACCACCAGCAAAAAACTTGTTGAAAGTATTTCAATAATCAAATAAAATGATGAGACTTAAGTTTGATGAGTGTGCCTATTGCTCTATGGAAAATCTAGAGAAGATACTGACTAAAATAAGGATCTTGATTATGTTGAGAATGAAGAAGTTTACAACTTACTAGATGCCTTTAGTCTTCAAAAAGTACAATGAAAGTGGATAACGATAAGATGTTAAGCATATGCTAGCTTGGATTATATAGACTTATATATCTCATTAAATTTTAACTCTATCCAATCCTCTTGACCTGATCAGCTAAGAAAATAAAGAAAATAATTATTAGTGAAAAGGTTGTAGATGGAATCTTTGTCCAATAAATTGTACTTCACCTAACATAATCCATATAAGATGATAAAAATCAATCTATTTTGAGTTCAATAATTAATTAATGAAAATTTACAATTTATTTAAAGTATTCAAATAATCTCCTACTTGAATTATATTAATTAAATAGCATTAAATCATTCACAAAACTAAAAAAAAAAAAAACTTCACAAATCACTATGAGAATGGAAGTTTATATTTTTTTTTTTGCATAATTATGTCTCGCCTAGTCTTATTATTTGGGATGAAGGGATATCATGCAAGAAAATTTTGTTAGTTAATTTTAGTTTTTATTAAAAAAATTGTAGCCTTTTTTCTTATTAAATTTAATCAGTTAATTTCAAAATAGTTCGCTATTACTTTTTAAATGTACATCACGTGGTAATTTTTTCCCCTTAAAAAAAGGAGGAAAGTCTAATATGTGTTACGCCGAACCTGCTGAGACATCACAACTTTTCACTTTTTAGATTTTAACCCTCTAATTTAAACTCTTTTATTAGTCAGTCTTCATTGCTTCTTTCTTCAATTCTGCCTCATGTCCGTACTATATCATATCTTTTAAAAGAAACTGCTTGATTATATTTTTCTAACATTATTTCTCTTTAATCTCATTGATTATGAAAAAGACAGTATATTATAAATTTAAAACTTTTCCATTTAAATAGAAAAAAATTAAAAGTTTGTTTTATTTTTAAAAATATTAATAACTTAATCATATTTTCTTAATTATGATAGAGTAGCTAGAAATATTTCACAATGCTTTGAATCTTGTCGATGCTATGATAGTTTTTATATGGTCAGTGTTAATCTGGTGAGATATTCTTCTTTTTCCTCTTTCTGCAAAAGGGCATGGGGATCATGGGATCGAGCCGGTCTAAGCGATTCGGTTCATAAAGGGAAACGGCGATTTTACTATTTAACTGAGCTGAACCGTCCGGTCCAAGTGTTGTCGCTCTACTCAGAAGCTTACACTAAAACTCGTTAAAAGATTCACCCTTTTTGTTGTCTTCGTTTCTGTGCCTATAGTCACCGCAATTTTTTATTTCAATTTTTTACCTGTCTCGCTTGTTATCTTATAGGTTTTTGATTGAATTCTTCGAAGTATGTTAGTAGAAGCAGTGAAATTTCTCGTCTTCCTTCAATCCTTTACCCGCCACCACCACACATGGCTTCTTCCCTGCGAGAACTTCTCACACAGGAAAGCTTCCATTACGCAAATCGAAATCGATTCAAGTCCAAAGACAAGGCCGGAGCAAAGCAACTCTCTCACTTCGTCTGCAATGATCGGAAAAGCTTCGATTTTTCTAATGACAAGCCAGAGAAATCTTTGATGCGAAGTGGGTCTTCGTCGTTTCAATCCAAAAGGGTTGATTCTGCTTCTGGAACCTCTAATTCTAACTCAGATTCAAGAGCAAGTGAAGGACCTCCCATGGATGAAGTTGCAATTCGAGCAGTGATTGGTATACTCAGCGGGTACATAGGAAATTACAAAAACGACGCTTCTTTCCGCAAAACGATGAGAGAAAAATGCAGTTCTTGCCTGATGAGTGGACAAAAGAACGATTCGGATTATCAGATTTTGGTGAACTTGGAAATGGGTATGGAGAACATTGATAGATTGGTTGAAGATCAAGGGGTAAAGAAGAAGAAGCAGACAAGAATCAAAAGCTTGAGGAATTCTATTGAGCTTTTAACCATTGTTGCTTCTTTGAACTCTAAAACGTCCAAAGAAGGTTCAACTTGTGGAATACCCAATTCACATCTCTCTGCTTGTGCTCAACTCTACTTGGCTATAGTGTACAAGCTCGAGAAAAATGATCGTATTTCTGCAAGACATCTCCTACAAGTGTTTTGTGATTCTCCATTTGTAGCTCGGACGTTTTTACTTCCTGAGCTTTGGGAGCATTTATTTCTTCCCCATCTTCTCCATATCAAAATTTGGTACACGAAAGAACTTGAGTTCCTCTCAAGCGAAGGTCATGATCATGAGAAGCAGAAGAAATTGAAGGCTCTTAGCAAAGTGTACAATGAGAAAATGGATAAAGGAACTACCCTGTTTGCTCTGTATTACAAGCAGTGGTTAAAAGCAGGGGCTAATGAGCCTCCGATTCCGATTATACCATTGCCATCAAGACCAAGGCACAACAGACCATCAAGAAGAAGTTCATCAGATTCTTTCACTTCACATACCTCAATGAACCAGAACTTGTAAGTGATGTGTGAATCTTACATTGATAGAGAGAGGGATGGAGTTTATATATTGTAATTGTGTTAATGTGCTTTTATATCCATTGGGATTTATAATAGGTACCAAGCAGTATTTGGCTCCAAACTAGAGCAAAAATCATCCAGTTCTAATGATCAAAATGAAGTGTTGAGAATTACTTGGCGTTCAGAGATAGATGAAAATCTGGGTGGAGATGAATACAATATCAGTAGTACAGTGCAGGTTAGTTTTTCATTGGCTTATATTTTATAGTTTTACATCTTCTGATTTTAATATGAATGCTGCAAATATTTTATTTTGACAGAAAGAAGACAGGATGACTTCTTTTGGAAGCTTTCCAAGGAAAATCAACAGAAACCAATCCGAATTGCTTGACCCGAGGAGGTCAGACTATTTCCAGTGCTTTTCTTGCAGGAATATATCAACAGAAGGCTTGATAGTTGGCAATAATACGGACAACAATGTTTCAGTGAGAAAGAGAACAAATCTTTCAGGTGATCTTATTGAATCTATTACAACTCTATGCTCATCGGGTGTTCTAAGTGAATGCGAATTTGCAATTCGTATGATTACCAAAGCTTGGTTAAATTCTCACGGTGATCATGCCCTTGTAGAAGCCTTGTCAAATCCTAGTGTGATTGAAGCCATGCTAGAGGTGTTATTTGCCTCTAATGAAGATGAAATTCTAGAACTGATTATATCAATTTTAGCAGAATTAGTAGGAAGGAATGCAGTTATAAGCCAAATTATACTGAACTCAGATCCACAGCTAGTAGTCTTCGTTAGACTTCTTAGAAGCACAAGTCTATTTCTTAAAGCAGCCATACTGCTTTATCTGTCTAAACCACAGGCAAAACAGATGTTATCATCAGAATGGGTGCCATTAGTACTTCGAGTTCTAGAATTTGGAGATAAGATACAAACACTTTTTACTGTACAATGTAGTCCTCACAAGGCAGCATTTTACTTGCTGGACCAACTCCTTACTTGTTTTGATGATGATAAGAACTTAGAGAATGCAAGGCAAGTTGTTTCTCTGGGGGGACTGACACTGCTGATCAGAAGAATCGAAAAAGGAGAGATCCATGAGAGAAATAAAGCTGCTTTGATAATTTCGTGCTGCATTCGGGCTGAAGGAAGCTGTCGAAATTTTTTGGCTGACAATATTGATAAGGCTTGTCTACTAGAACTCATTGTTCTTGATTACTCTGCAAATTTCAGTGGGTCTACCTTTTCTGTGTTAGTAGAGTTACTCTGCCTTGACAGGTATGTGTATTTTATTAATGACCTTCTCCAAAATATCACTTCTCTCTCTTGTTATTTTTTGGCTCTGACTGTGATTCAAACTCGGATTAATACTTTGAGCCTAAGCTCATTGGCTTCCATAAATCTTTTTGTGGTTTGGTTTTTCTGTTCCTTATCAAAAAGTGATGATTGTGTCACAGAAGAACCAGAATTTCCAATTTCTTGAGAGGACTCAAGGAAGGATGGGGTGGCTTAAACACCATGCACATCTTGTTCATGTATCTTAGAAAGGCTAAGCCTGAAGAACGACAGTTAGTTGCAACAGTATTATTGATCCTTGATCTTATGGTAATTTTTTTTTTCAAAAAAAAAAAAAACTTGTAGGCCACTTTCTCAGAAAGAGTTTCCAAATGCGAATGATAGTTATGTTTCAGGAAGATCCTTTCAAGGGAAGCTTTTACAGAGAAGAAGCAATAGAGACAATTGTGGCTTGTTTAAATTGTGAGATGTGTGATGATAGAATTCAGGAACGATCAGCCAGAGCTTTGCTCATGTTGGGAGGGAGATTTTCATACACTGGAGAATCAGTAATGGAGAAATGGCTTTTACAGAAAGCAGGGTTCCAAGAAAGTTGCTTCCAAGATTCATGCCATGGCAAGGAAATTGTTGTCTATGATTCAACCCCTCATGTAAGCTACTGCTGAAAAACTGAAACACTTCGTCTATATATAATTTCTTGTGTCTTAAGTTTTCACAAGAGAATGTGCCTATCATTTGGTACTCGGTCTTCTTGAGAAATGGCCTTACTATTCATAACTCGTAAATAGTGACTTGTTATTGATATCGATATATGCATCGATTTACATCGTACATGTCTGTGTTTGGTACATTGATATATAATGTGTGGTTTTACATGGCTGTTTTTTAGCTTAATTATTATACCAAACATATATCTTGACAAGGTACTGACAATTGGACTGATTATTATCGGTTAAGGTGCTAATTCAAAGGTTAGTGGTTAAAACTATAGTTAAATCATATCAAATTGGTTAAGACACTTGTTTAATGGTTCACGTGGGTGAGCTGACCGAGATTTTCATGCTATGAATCTTGAATATCAGTCTTTCTGTCCTATATGTAATAGAATGGATTGAAAAGTTTAAAAAGTCATTATGCTTCCATTTTCAAATTAAATCTAGATGGTCGAGATCAGTAGTGCATGTGATTACTCACCTATTGCGAATCTCACTAGAGCTGATAGGCTGATTATTGTGTTTGATTGATTGATGATAGATAGAAGAGGAAGAAGTGGAGAGCTGGCAAGAGAGGGCAGCCTGTGCAATGTTGAAAAGTGGGAATAGTAAGAAATTAGTATCAGCACTTGCTGACTCCATGGCGAATGGAATTCCGTGCTTGGCTCGAGCGAGCCTTGTGACGGTCTCATGGATGAGCAACTACCTTCACCTTGTCCAAGACAGAGAGTTGCCAAAGATGGCCTCATCAATCTTGATGCCACAGCTGCTACAATCCTTGAATTATGACAGAGATAGTGAGGAGAGAGTGCTTGCTTCATATTCTTTACTATGCCTCTTTAAGAGTTCAGGTATGATCACTTCCTCGTTTGTTCATTTCTAGACCTAACCGATTTTTGATTCAGATTTGATTTCTTCTTATCAAGGAGATTCAAATAAGTAGAAAGACTTCAGTATATTCATACAGCTGAGTGATTTAAATTAAGAAGGCTTTGTCACAAAAACATGTTTAGATGTTGCATGTGCTATAAAAGATTTTGGGGTTGAAATTTTAGACCATTAGCATCAAATATCATATACAAAATTGAGGGGCAGCTATATATTTTCCAAAACGTAATGATGATTAAATGTAACTAGATGTTTGTCTCGCACATTGCATAGAGTTTAAAAAAAACAAGCTACACTGTTGATAACTAATTTATAATATTTGTTTCGGTGTTTTTATAATTTATATATTGAATTGTATAATGAACTAATATAGATCTTATACGTATTGTAATAAAGTCCGGGATACGAGCCATATTTCTTGTTAAAATTTGTATATTATGTGTTCCTTTCAATCCTTATTATAATATACTTTCTAAAATAAATTAATGGCCTTTAATATGCTCATATGGTAAGTATTAATTACATTTTTAATATTATTTTTATTTAAATTCATTAATTATGAAAGATAATATAATGTAATTTTTTTATTTAAATGGAGTAATGGTAAAACTTATTATATTTTCAAAAAAATAATTAAAAATATTGTATAATAAGGACGAGACTAAATATATTATATATTTCTTGTGCATTGCACAAAGTTTGAAGATATAAATAATATGATATAAATAGTTAGAATTTTTATATTTATATGAATGAAATATTATAAGCTTGATGCTTTGAATGGATCCTTTTATTCATGAACCATGGATGAACTTATGAAAGAAAAGAATATTTTACGATGAATATATATTTTTTCTGCTAAAAAAATGAATATATAATTGTAATGAATATTAATGATTGGATACGAGTTTGAGATTTGATTGGTCCCTCACGTGGGACATAATGTGAACAGGAGGATGTGATGTTGCCTGGCGGCACAAAGAGTCACTGGGACAGCTTCAAAACCTCTCACTAGTGACGTGGACAGCCAACAAGCTCCTCTCCAAAGCCAGCTTGCATTCACAGCAATGATCAATCATTCCTCTCTCTCTCTCTCTCTCTCTCTCTCTCTCTCTCTCTCTCTCAAAATTATAGAAAGAGGATATGTATAATGAGGTGATTTTGTATAGTTGGTGAGCTTATTAACAAACTAAAGTGACTAGTTCTTGCAAATTAATACAACACATGTTACATTAATTTTGGTTGCCTCTTGCTTATAACAATTTTAAGAGCTCTTGCCAACAATAAATTTTTTGTAAAATAAAAAATTAAAATAAATTTGAGAGATTTCATAGAAATTTACAAAAAAATTATGAGTTATAAATGATGAATAATGAGTTCTTCCGAGATAAAATATAACTTGACGTTATAATTTCATAACAAAATCAATCTTAAGATGATCATGGTTTCCTTTTTAATAGTTCAATCTTAGGATTAAAGGACATTTTTGCCATAAAAAAATTAAGAGAGAACATAACTTTTAATCTTTACACTTTATTCATATTTTGTTATATGTCATTGCACTTTTTTTTTGTATTTTGAGTTCCTACATTTTTATTTTTGGTATCTTATATTCATTTAAAGTCCTTATATTTTGATTATTTTGGTCATTTAAAGATCTAGAATACTGAAAAATAAAAGTGTAGGAACTTAGAATATTCAAAAAAAAGGTACAGGGACTTATAATAAAATACAAGTAAAGTACAGAAAATAAAAGTTATGTTTTTTTAAAAATTAATTTCGACAATTAGCTGGCAAAAAAATTACAAAAATAAATTTAAAAATTATAGAAAATTACTCATAAAATTGCAAATAAGTACCCTATAAAAGATTAATATCAATTAAGGTTTTAAAATAATTGTTGGTTAAAATCGTATTTTGACATTTTATGTGAGTAAGAAATAATATTTATATTTTGTTACTTATATATAATTTAGGAAACTTGATTGATATTAATTTTTTATAGAATATTTATGTGTAATTTTATTGGTTCTTTTTATAATAATTTCTGAGTTATTTTCTATCATTTTTTAATCAATTAACTAACAATTAAAGTTAACCTTTTTAATGGTAGATGTTTAACACATCATTTTCAATTATTGAAAGAGAAATTGCATTACATGAAAATTTAAGATACCAAATACTTGAGTGAATTTAATAATTGAGAAGCAAAAATGCCCTTTAACCTTTCAATCTTATTACATTGCTCACACAATCAATAATGCATTACAAATTTTTCTTCAAGAAGAAAAGGTTGAAAAATTATGATGAAAAGAAATGGTAGTTTCTGCATGTGGATATGAATCTTGCCAACTGTTAGGGTCCTGCATGTGGTCTTCTTCAGGTAGATTGCGACATTACCAGATGCCCCATCTTCTTCTCTCGAAATATCTTCAATATTTCTGCTCAAATTAGCAAAAATTAACTATATGTAACATTTAGTTTATATGTTCCTGAACAATTGCTAGTGTAGAAAGGGGTATCTACACTAATTAAAATTAATTGTTTTGCTAGTGTAGAAAGGGATATCTACACTGATTAAAATTGATTGTTTACACCAGTATACAATTGGTGTAGATAAGATTGGTGTAGAAATCTTATCGATATCTACACCAATTATTCAACCAATGTAGATAATGATAATATCTACATTGGTTGTCAATATTTATACTGGTTGGACAATCAATGTAGCTAAGTTTTCAGAAATTTTAATCAATTTTTTAATTTTTAAAAATCACTATCTGTATCAGTTATGGTAATAATCGATATAGATAATGATCTACACCGGTCATGGCATATGTAACATTTAATTTATATGTTTTTGAACAATAATTAATGGGAATTATTTTAATCTTACATGGTTAGCAGATCAGCTTAATTTATTAACAAAATTTATTAGTTTATATTTTTATGCCAATCATTTCAATTTATACTAATGAGGAAACATAAATATCGCTAGAAAAAAAAAGTTATATGGTAGTGTTGGAGAGCAGTGATTTTATAAAACCGTTACAATTATATGACTTTGTTGCGGTTTTAAACAAAATCACTACTAAGTTGTTATGTTTATATCCCCGCCATTTGATGCAAGCACTTGTAACATATAGTTTTTTGACAAAAATCGTGATCAACCATAATAGCGATTTCATGAAAATAGCTACAAATTATGGTGCCTAATGGCGGGAAACATTGCAACGACGATTCTTTTGAAGGTTCATACCCTGGACTTAAACAGTACAATCAATACACATAAACGTTAATAAATAACTATCATCATAATTAAAAGCCAGAGTACCGATATTAAAAGATAAGCTAAAATGTATAAAATCTTCCTGAACTTTGAGACAGTTGTATATAACCCTCCTCACATTTAAAAATTTAAAATTAAGTCCCCTAACTTTTAATTTTATTTTTCAAAACCCTCTATTTTTAATTATGTTATTTTTCATAAGGGTTAAAATGTCATTCAATTAAAAAATATTATTAAATAAAAATATTATATTGTATAACTATTTATAATAAATTTTTTTATATATTTCGGATAGTTGAGGCATTGATAACAAAAAAAAAATATTATTATCACTGTCTAAAATTTTAAATATTTATGTTTATATTAGTTTTATTCATGTTCTTTTGTCATCAACGGTGCATGATTCTATTATTTATTTGTTTTAAAAGATAAATTTTTATTTATATCTCCATGTTAGATTAATGTAATGCACATGGCTAAAATATTTAAAATTTTAAATATTAGTATGTTAGAATAATTTATCTTTTAATACTAGAAAACTATGCACCATTGATCACAAAAAAATAAATAAACCTAATACAAAAGTAAATATTTTAAATTTTATATGGTGATGATAACATTTGTTTTGGGTATTATCAATGCCTCAACTATTCAAAAAATATAAGAAATTAATTAGCCATAGTTCTACAATATAATATCTTGTTTAATAACATTTTTTAGTTGAATGACATTTTAACCATCATGAAAAATTAACATAATTAACAATAGGGGGTTTTGAAAAACAAAATTAAAGGTTAGGGGAGTTAATTTTAAACTTTTAAAAGTGAGAGGAGTTATATACAACTGTCTCTAAATTCAGAAAAGTTTTATGTATTTTAGCCTAAAGGATATCATAATAGAAGTGACTCATACTGTAGTTGAAATAGCTAACCATAGTTGAAAATAAAGATCTAAAATGGTTTATAATATTTAACATATATAGATAAAACTATTTAATAACTCCTATCATGGTAGAATAGCTTTAAATAAGTCAACTATGCTCTACCATAATAATAAAGAGTGAACTTAATCATTAAGAAACTACTATAATAGAAAAGTTTGAAAGTAAACTTTTCAAGAATAAAATTTAGCAAACAAGAAAGAAATTTAGCAAATTGGGATCCCAAAAGTATATTTAAATTTAAACGACAGTTTAAAAGGCCATTTATGACTTAAAGATCACAGTAGGAAATAATTAAGAAGCATGGAAATCAATTAATATAGTAAATAGGTCAAAAGGGACATTTTATAACCAAAATAGAGCAATCCACCATGGCTAATTGTTCATCTGCCACGGTTGTGGTACAGAGAACATATGCCATGACCAATATTGTCATTTACTTCGACTGACACTCTCTTTGTGGCTAACAAGGCTATCTGTTGCAACGCACTTGATGTTATGACAGCTTCCTTGATCCAATTTTTGGTGTCTATGACTTTTAGCTTGGATCTATAATTGAGGTGATCCAAACATTCATATGTAGATAATTAAAAAATTTAGCTAATGACATCAGTTTCACAACAATGCAATAATATATGGAAAGATTTTAGATAGCTGGGGGCCAAAATAACTCATGTTACAAACAAAACCATCAACCAAGTATCCACACTCCTAACCCTGAGCCATTAGCCCCATATGACCATACATACATACTCAAAGAGAATAACAAAGCATGTTCAACCATCACATGCATTCATTGCAACATACATGCTTGAAATCACCACCTACAACACAACCAAGGTGGAGAAAAACTCTAATTTCATGAACAAGATTAATTACAAGCTATTCATGTTGTAAATTGTGCCCTAAGCCAATCTATGTACTATGAACATTGTGTTTTATTAGGAATTTCTCTTTACTATCGTATTGTTTGCATGTTTGCTATGATAATAATTTCCTTGGGTAAATCATTGTGATTGCCTTAAATATCTTTAGTCTATCATCTTCATGGGAATAATGAAGAAGTAAGACTAGTATGATTTTGATTGATGATTATGTGTTAATCATGTATGTAGTCAGATCAAAATCATAGGAATTTGTCAAAGTATAGGGCACTAGACTGACTTGTTATGAAATAGCTGCATAGATCAAGTCATAAGGTTATTTCATATATAGCCTTGTCATTAAGCCCTCAGACTAGAGATTATCATCATAAATTCCTACAATGAAAAACATTGAGCTTTGACATAGTCAAAAGTCACTTTTAATTAAGTGATCATAAAGGTTGTGATCGAGCGTAGTGAAATTCATACAGAGAAATATGAATGGTCAATATTAAATCTGTCCTTTGTATTAATAGAGAGATATTATTAAGCTCCTTGATGAGTGAGATTGAGAAATGCATGGCCATTTTCTCATTAAAAAAAAAAGACTGCAATAGCAGTGGTAGTTTGCCATGATTTTTCTTAAATCATTGGAAATCCCATGTTTTTATTTTCAAAAAAACCCTCCCTATAAATTTTTTCCCTAAAAATAATTAAAGCTGTTTTTGTAAAAATCATGGTTGGCTCACGATTTTGTTAGAAATTGAGCTGGCTCCTAGTTTTGTCACTATTTTTTGTAAAAACCATGGTTGGCTCACGATTTTGTCAGAAATTGAGCCGGCTTCTGGTTTTGTCAAAAACTGAGCCCACAGTTTTTAATAAAGTCATGGCCCCATCCTTCTTGTATAAGAACCCCTCCCCCTCATTTCAATTTTCATTTTGGCGCGCTCTCTTTATTAGGTGAATGCTTGGCATATTTCTTTTTTTTTCTCTTTCTTATTTTCTTTTTTTTAAGTTATGTTTTCATATTTAATATTTTTATTATATGTTATCATATTTTTTAGGGACTTAAAGAATTCTCTAATTTTCTACAAATATTTGACATTTCACAGGATGCTCAAGGTAATTTATTTTTTATTTAATA